GGCTGAAGGTAAATACTCTGTAACCAAAAATTGGAGCCTATAATTAGATGCAAAGCCCTGTAACGAAGTCTATGTGAAGATACATATTTGAATCAAGGAAATCTTGAAAGGAAACTAGTACGGCAGAGAGCGGCACTACTACAGTATTAGCAAACCTAATTGTTAAAAAATAGTTATTAGTAAACCAAAATAAATTTCTGTTTAAAATATTTAAATCAAACCTCTATATAGTTTGTTAAATACATTTATATACTAACTGGTATACTTAAATATTTATAGTAATTAATATTATTGCTATATATTATTTTTTACTTTATTTTTTGAAACTAACTATAGAGTTTGTAAAGATTGCAATTTAGTATATACTGTATATACATATATATATATACTAGATATCAGATATACTGTATATGTACTGTATATATATATATACTACAGTATAATCATATAGGCAGATTTACAGAATTTGATCATATGAATTTTAATCATATGATTAATATTTTATTAATGTTAAATTAATGTTTCCACCTTAAGGGTAGAGTCAGTGACCGAAAAATATTTAGATATCAATTTTAAAAAATTTATTTGGATAACAATAAAAATTTGGATATAATTTGGATATAAATTTTATTTATTTTTCCTTATTAAAATAGATCATATTAAGTATTCTTAATGATTCTAAACTTAAACTTTGACGATTGTCATCCAAAATATTATTATAAACTGAAAAGCTGTATTCAACTGCACATGCATAAATAGGTAACTATATATATTCCATTGCTATATTATATAAAAGTGGAAGAGATGATAAAACTTTTTCTCAAAATATATCTAAAGTATCATATTCAATTATAACTAAATTAAGATTACAATAAATGCACTATTCATGTAAAAGTGCAATAGATGGATTTCTAAATTGAAGAATATCTGTTGCATAAGAAGAAATATCTCAATTTTTAGCACATAATTGAATAAATTGGGAATTAAAAACTTGGGTAGCTTTAAAAAGTGGTCAAGAATGATGTGAAAAAATATGCTTAGAGAATTTTTTAAAAGCAGATTCAAATGCATCTTGAAATATGGGAGAAAAAGAAAAAGGCTCACTATTAAGTTTTAAAATAATATCATTAATAACTTGACTAAAATCATTATTAGTTTTATTATTATTAAGAAATATTTCTAATTGTTGAATTCGAGCTTCTACAAGGAGAAATATGGGATCATTTTCTTTTTGAAAAAAATTAAGAGTATTAATAAAAAATGAAGCATAATAATGAATAAATGTAAGATAAATTTCGATATGATTATTATTTTGTGTATTATTAAAAATAAACATTACTTTATTAATAGAATCAGAGTTGTCTATTTGCTGTTGTTCTTTAAAAAAACCTCGAATATATTCTAAATATTTATAAATGTAAAATACTATATCAAACCAGGAGTTTCATCTGTAGCATTTGGTAATGGCATAAAACGAAGTGTCAAATTATTAGATGAAATTTGACTATCACCTTCAGGTAAAATACCATGTCGTTATAAATACTCCATATACTTAACCCATCGACTTTTCGCATTTGAAAAAGTTTTTTTATTTCTGTAATTAATTTTTTTATAATGTCAAAGTGATGACTTGAAACCCAAGCTTCTCTAAATCATTAATAAATAAATAAAATAAATAAATAAATAAATAAAATAAATAAATAAATAAATAAAATAAATAAATAAATAAATAAAATAAAGTAAAAATAAATACCTGATCAAATTTAGAATATGAGTCAGACAAGGATTATGTCTTATTTGCAGCATCGCTGGAACAAGTATTTCATGCACACATTTTTTCATATAGACTGCTGAGTCTGATATTATAAGCCATGGAGAAGTTAAAGGAATAGACCATTCTACTAAAATTCGTAAAATAAGTTAACCAATACTAGTATTATTAACTTCTTGTAAGAATTCTACTGAAACTAACTTTGACTTTCCCTTATAATTAAATAGAACATTAACAATACTACGAGCACAGCTGTTAGTAGTCTCATCGATAATTATAGCAACAGGTTTTCCTACAAATTCATTTCTACATGCTTATGAAATACTTTCATCAAATACTGTTTTCTTAATATACTTGAACCTGGAATAATACCACCTTCACGACAATATTTAACTAAAAACCCATGAAACTTATCAAATTTTTCTAATAGGATATTGGCACCAACCCAGGCTTCAAGCAAATCATAGACTATTTCTCTCTTTATGTTAGCAATTTTCATTGTGGAGGGAAGAGTTTGTTGTTGAGTGCTTTGATTATTATTAAGATAAGTTTCCCGATTTTTTTTATGCATTTTTGAATTTAAATGGGAAGTTACATATACTTTATTCTTATAATTAACACTATATTCACAAAAGCGATATATCAGCTTAGTAGAATCTACTACAAAATCTTTAGAAAACTCCTAAACACGTAAAAAAGCTGTTACCTTTTTTGTTGATAGCATTTTTTTTAAATTGTGCTTTGTGATTTTACTGGGTTGTTCCTCTTATTTCTTTTCTTGTGTTTTAGTGTTTCATTTCTTAGTTTGTGAAAGTTTGCTCTTTTAAAAATTTTGTATGATATTTTTTAGATCAAAATCCTAACCAATCAGGATCCATAAAATTAAATTACTCAAAAATTTAGAAAAATTTGGCTAACGTTAAAAAATTTAGAAAAATTTGGAAAAATTTGGATTCAAAAATTTTCTGGTCCCGGGTAGAGTATAGATCAATCATTTATCATATGATCTCCATGATACAACAGGATTTTATATATAAAGTAAAATATGTCACTAGTAAAAAGTTCTCAAAGCCACAGCTAAATTTTACCAAAATTTGGTAATTTACTGTTAAAACCTTCTATTTATAGCAGTAAAACTTTCAGGAGCTATATTATTTTTAAAAAATAAACATATATATGTTATAAAGTTTTCAGAGATTTCTTACATTTCCTAAGATTACACAAAAAACATAGTAAAAATATTTCTAAAACAGGTAATTACCTAATTAGATTTGTGTTTACTATGTAATCTGTTATACAAAAAAAATTGCCATGTATATCATATGATAAATGATCTACGTATACTCTACTTTTAAAATATATAATAATCTCACGTCAAACCTATGAGCCAACCTTAAAACCCATGAGATTATACTACCATAATTTTCGGCAAATAGTACCCGGGTCTCTTACATTCTTAGGCCTTAAAACTTGATTAGTACCCGGTGGGTACTTTGTCAGAAGGAGGGTATTTTATATAGGGGGTTTATGTAAGGGGGGGTTTATATAAGGGGGATACTTTAAATGCAATAAGGTTGACCAATCATTTAAGTAAACGTGAAAATACTTGAACGCGATTTTTTTAATTCTTTTTTTTTTTTTTTTACCTTTTGCAAATTAAAATTTCTTTTACACATTAAATTATGGCAAAAATTCGCTCTGGTATTGCACGTTCTACAATTTCACAGAAAAAGCGACGCACCTGGAATGCACACGAAAAACTTGCAATAATAACTTACCAAGAAAAAACACAGGCAAGTATTCGTAGTACATCACTTGAATTTGGGATTGAGCCAAAGCAATTTTGTGATTGGCGTTCAAAAAGAAAGGAGTTAATGCTTGTACGTCCGCATATTCGTCAGTTAAATACTGGCTCTTGCCTGAAGTATCCTGAACTAGAAGTTGAGTTAAATACTTGGGTACGTGCGTTGAGGGCTGAACTTAAAGTAGTTTCGCGTAGCATAGTTCAAGTTAAAGCAAAAACTTTGGCACAATCACAACGATTTTTATTACTTTATTCTGATATTTCAACTTTTCAATGGAGCCATAAATGGTTAGACGGTTTTATGAATCGTTATTATTTGAGCAATCGATGCCACACTACTGTTTCACAACGTTTACCTGAAGATTATAAGGAAAAGCAACAGGAATTTTTAAGTTTAGTCCTTTTTCAACAAATGAAACATGAATATCCTTTAAAGCTAATTGGTAACATGGATGAAACTCCACTTTCTTTTGACTTGCCAAGTAACTTTACAATTGACGAAACTGGAGCCCGCAGTATTAATATCAGAACCTGTGGATATGAAAAGTCGAATTTTACTGTTGTTCTTTGTTGCATGTCAGACGGTTCTAAGTTGCCCCCGCTAATTATTTTTAAACTTAAAAATGTACTACGACTTAATTTTCCGGCGGAAGTAAAAATTAGAGCTAATAAAGAAGGTTGGATGAACACAGACAAAATGTTATTTTGGATTGAGAATGTATGGAATCGCCGTGCACCTCTTACTGTTGACTCATGTTCTTTGTTAGTGATTGATTCATTTAGTAGTCATCTTGTGGACTCAGTCAAGCAACGATTTAAGAAAAAGAAAAATGACTTGGCAGTAATTCCTAGTGGATTAACCCCTCGGTTACAACCATTAGATGTAGCTATAAACAAACCCTTTAAAGACAAGGTATTTTCACCAAAGCATTAAATATTTACTAATTTAGAATAATTATGTGAGAAATTATATTAGAAAAAGTTAAAATGGCAATAGAAATTCAAAAAGATTTGAGAACAACTATTATTAAAGGAATAGCATTATGCTATCTAAATTTTTGAGATGAAAATGATTATTGGCTATAGAAATTTATACAATTTGTTTTTATTTTACAACTTTTGCATTAATCTTAAGCATTAATTATTTAATAAATATACAGGTTCGTAATTATTATAATAAATGGATGGCTGAAGCAATCAAGAAGCTGACACCTATGGGAAAATTTCAGAAGCCTGCTTACAATGTTGTTGCTCAATGGGTTCAAAAAGCCTGGGACAAAATTGATCCAGCACTTATTCGATGTTCGTTTAAGTGTTGTGGAATTTCGAACGATCATAATGGCTTTGAAGACAAACAAATTTTTGATTATAGTTTTGTAAAGGCAGGTAAACCTTTACCTCATATTGTTGTTGAGGAAGAAAATCATGAAGAGTCTAATTAATTGGTTGGAAATCATGAAGAGTCTAATCAATCGGTTGGAAATCATAAAGGGCCTAACGAATTGGTTGGAAATTATGAAGAGTCTAGCAACTCAGTTGAAAATTATGAAGAGTCCAGCAACCCGGTTGGAAATTGTAAAGAGTCCAGTGAATCAGTTGGAAATTGCGAAGAGTTCAGTGAATCGGCTAAGAACTATGAAGGGTTCAGCAAATCAGCTGGGAACTGTGAAAGGTTCAGTGAATTGGTTGGGAACTGTGAAAAGTCTAGTAATTCAGTTAGAAACTATGAAGTATCTAGTGAATCGGTTAGAAACTATGAAGGATTAAGTGACTTGGTTAGAAATCGTGATGATAACGATAAGTCTGGTCAATATTTTGGTGAAAATAATCTTTTAGATTTTGGAGACAAAGATTTTGATATGTATTATGATAATTTAGAAATAGAAAACTATTCTAACTCCTGGCTTTAAAAACTTTAACAAATATTGAGCAATCCTCCTTATTTTTCTTATTTACTAAATTTTTGGAGGCCAATTTTGTGAAAAGAATTTAAATTTTCTTTTTTAGAAAAATGCAAATATAAACTAGCATAATAAAGATATATGTTTTGCACACGCTTTAATTAAAAACTTTAATTTATTTTGATTTATTTTCATACTTAAATAAAACAGCATAAAATTATAATTTCAAATATATCAACTGCACTTAACATTATATAATTACACTTATAAATATAATCAGTATTAAGTTTTTAACAAAAATTTACTGCACAATTTGAAATTTTTTTCTATACGGCAAATAAAAAAAATTATAAATAATTCGGAATTGTGCCCACTATTCACAATGTTAAATTTCTATACAGCATCTGCACATCTATTTAAAAAAAGTGTGGTGAAAGATGTGTACTATATAAATCGTAACTAATCAAGGCCTCAAAAACTTTAACCAATCAACAGAAGTTTTAGATATACCCAGGTCTTTTACAATCATGTACACACGACATACTTGATTAATTCCAGGTATAAATCGTGAGGGGTACATTAACAAGGGGGTACTATTTGCCGAAAATTACGATAAAGGTATTTAAATCAAGTTGATTTATAAAAACATATTTATTATACTTATAAATTACAATACAAAATATAAATTAAAAACAAAAGTCTTTTTTTTTTAATTTTTTTATTTTTATTTTTATTTTTATTAATATAATGCCATAGTAGAAACTTTATTACAAATAGAAAAATAATTCTAAAACTAAAGATTTCTAACTACATTTGTGTTATATAAGGCACCCAATGTGACATTACACCTCTTATTTTCTATAAAATGCTATAGTTAATTATTTCAAATTAATTTCTAGCTAGAATAGGTTGGAGGAGACCTAAGGTGATAGTCATAGCATTAAGTAAAGCATGCAGTTAAAGCATATTCTTGTAAGAGCTATTTATTAATAAAGAGATTAATATCTAAAGGTTATATTGTAATTTGAGAATTATTTGAAGAAATAAATGTATTTAGAAGATAAAATTTTATACGTTTAGCTTTGGCAGTAATATTTTGAGAGAGTTTTTATTGATGTTGATGGATATTATGAATAGACTATAGTTCTTGACAGTACTAAGATAAGAGATTATTAGAGAGATTAATAAAAAAAGAGTCAGTATGTTTATTGAGTAATGTTTTGATATTGTTGTATATAGTAGTTGAAAAGGTGCCAGTAATTGCATGTAGTATAAAGAGGTAGTGTAGATTAGAAGAGTTGGCAGTAAAGTTTAGTAAGATATTAAGAAGAGTATTGGAGAAATTGTTAGAAATTGAAGAGTTGTTAGAGTTGTTTGAATTATGTTGATGAGTCTATGAGAAAGATTGATATTATTATTGGGACAAATAAGTAGATGAAGAGTGTTTTCAGAGTTAGAACATTAAGAACATGTTGATGTGTTGTAGAGATGAGAGTATCGAATATTAAGATTTTCCATAGTAGGAAGATTGTTTGTAAAGATTTTAATACGAAAAGAATATTTAAATGTATTATATTCTAAGGATTTTAATATTTTGAAGTTTAGAGGCTATTTAATTTCTGAAATATCTTTAGTGAACTTTAGTGTAGACCATTTTGAAAGTTCTTGAATTGTGATAGTATTTTTAATAAAAATACACATTTTAAAAGGTATTAGATAGTTATTTTATAAAAAGTGATTTGGAAGAAATGGAAAGGAAAATAAAATATTTGTTTTGAAGCATCCTCTTTTGGCGAGTAAGTCAGCCTAGTTGTGATAAAAATTATTAGAGTGAGATTTAACTTTATGAAGTTTTATATTAATGTTTTTAGTATTCTTGAAATAATTTATAGAAAAAATAATATCCCAATTTTTGTTTTGTATAAGTTTGGTAGGAAGGGTAGATTGTAAGTTCTTGATTGCAGTTTTGTTGTCAATATAGATATTAATAGAGGAGTTGGATGGCAAAGCAAGAAGAAGACTAAAGATTGCCTCTAGTTCAATACGAGTAAAGTCAGAGTATGAATGAGTATTGGTATTAAAGCAAATAGAGGCATGAGATTTGCAAACCCATCCTATGCCAGTTTAAATATTTGGAGATTGGATATTTTTAATAAAGCCATCTATATAGAATTCTAAAATATTGTAATTAAGGTTATTTATAAAGTGAAAGAGTTGAATTAATTGATTTTAGAAGGTAGGTGAATTTACTGTTTGTTGAATAAGTTGAACTTCATAAGAGGATATATTTAATTGGAGTTGAGGTGGAAGAGTAGTTGGTACTAAAGAATGATTATTAATATGAATGAGAGCTAAAATTTCTTGATAGTCAATTTGTAATTAATTATTATAAAACTTAAGTTGATTGTAAGAAAGTTTGAAAAAATGAAGAGTTGGTAAAGATGGTAATGTAGAGGAAGTAAATGAAATAAAATCAGGTGTTGAATTTGTAACTTTGTAAATATTGAGTTGTATGAAATTAATTTGGTGAGAAAGATAAATTTGTTGATTATTTGTATAAAAAATTTGAAGAAAAGAGGAAGGATTAGAGAGGAAAGATGTAGATAAGAGGTCAATAGTATTAATAAAGGTATTTGTAGAAGGTAGATTAAGAGAAGACCAAGTTGTAGATATAGTATTTGTTT